CTCTTTCTAGCCTTATTGCTGTGTGTTAACTTTTTTTATGGAAGATAGTATTAGCCTCTGTTAGGAAGCAAAGTAGGTGCTAAACAAACATTCTAATGTGGAGGGTTTTTTTCAGCTATATCCTCAATTTTCAAGCTCTTAAGGGGTAACAATATCTTGACAAACTCAGACTGCCAAATTATATGTCATTGGATGTGGGGTTTTTTCTTTGTTTGTAAGCCAAACAGGTGCTTTTGTGCCTGCTTTTATGCTGTATAAACATATGGTATTTCAGTGATATGTTTGTATCAGTGAGTGTGTCTTGCAGTAACTTTCGAGTAATAGAAAGTCCTTGTCAGGGATGAGGATACCCCTCTTTACAACTGCTGAGTAGGCATAGTGTTCAGTGTCCTCCAGAAAGGTAATCCCTCTAAGCTGTGTTGAAGCTCTTCATTTGGGATGGGTTTGGTTTGGGTTTGGTTCGGATTAGGCGCAGGCTGGCAAGTGCCAACGATACAGCTGAGTGCTGTGCCACTGATGTCCAGACCTGCGTGCATGTTTCTCTCTTGAACTCCTGTGCAGAGACTTCAGGCTTACCCAGTTAGACTGTACCTGTTCCAAACTTGGCTTGGGTAAGTACCTGAACTGCCATCACCCTCTGCTTCTTGTTTGGGAGGCAGCCTGCCCAGGACAGAGCCTGAGCTTGGCATGCTCTGTCTGTGCCTGTTGCATCCTCCAGCAGCTCAGAGGAGCTCGCAGATCTTATCTGGACAAAAGTAGCTGCTGGTGGTTTGGGTTGGTTTGGTTTTTTTTTTTTTTTTTTGCACCTACCCACCTGCGGGACCATGTGAAACACAACATGAGCATGCAGTATATATAGTAAAGTTTCTTTCACACATAGAGAAATGATAAGTAACTTAAATAAACAAGTAGACCAAGAGTTTTCAGATTTAGTTTCATTACGAAAGATACTTTTGTTAGGGCTGAAAAGGTAGATAATTTGGTACTTGTTTTACCATCTGTATTCTCCATTTTTTTTTGCATTGTTTTGCTATATACTTAACAAGTTTCTCCATTAAGAAATATCTGCAATGCTCTGGGTACTTTTTTCATTACTTCATAAAAGCATCAGTTTTATTATAGATGCTTCCCAATTTAGTTAAGTGTAGTTTTTGATGCTGTGATAAATGGTAAATTTTTTGTAATCCAGCATCACCCCTCTGTGACCAAGAGTATCTTCAGTTTTTATTACATTAATGATTGCTTTTAGAAAGTGCTTATAGGACAAACTTCCAAAAAGTAGTAAATTTAATGTTGCATAATTTTACAGAAGGGTGAAGACTTGCAAACTACAGTGTACAATTGACTTCCTTTCATAAAGCATCAGTTTTTGCAGAATTCATCTGAAAAGCAGAAGAGTTAACATAGCCACAGTTTTTTTCATGTGAGATAGACCTAATATTATTCCCAAGATAATGGCATTAATATCAGGTGTCTCCTGTTACAAGCATTGCTATTTAATAATTTTTTTTCTTTAAAGCAGCAACTCACTGTTTAAAAAAGGTGGAGTTAGGGCAAATCTTAAAGCTGTGTGTGTGGAAATGTATTCTTTTATCTCTTCGTAAAAAGTTGGGAACTTAATGTTAGAGGCCTGCCTTTGTTGTTTGATTCTCACGTTTAAACTGTAGCAAATTTACTCCTTGGTGCAGGACAACTTTTAGTTTTGCTATAACTAGAGTGGACAGACTGCTTGTTAAATAGAAAAAAATAAATTTAGATCTAAATTCTTGGTTCTGAAATTTTTAGTTTTCCAGCCAAGTGGTAGGTTTATAGAAGACTAGATGATGTGTGCCGGGTTCTTTTTCTTTGTTTTAATTTTGTGATAAGTGCAGTTCCCTTGCGGGGGAAAAACTGGGCTTGCTTTATAAACAGTTGTATAACAGGAACTAGATGGGGGGAGGTGATAAATAGGAAAACTTCAGTGTCAAAGTAGAATTAGAGGTTTAAAACAAACTTCTCCATCCAACTTCTTGCAGAAGTATTAGACTGTAAAGTGTGGGTTTCTGAATTTGCATTCATCTTTAATGAGCTCTATTGACTACGTTCTGAAAATGTGCTAATTCTGTGATTGTCAGTTGTATTTATAGAATTTTTTCAGCACTCTGATAGTTGGATAACAAATGCAGTCCAGGCATTTACAACTTTTAGAATTGTTCTGATTTACATTTTGCCTTAGCTTCTGGAATGTATACTTCATTTTGTCAGTGATGCTCAAATGCCAGTAACCCCGAGGTATAAATGATAGTAGTCTAGCAAAAAAGGGAACTTGTCAGGATTTACAGGTCTGCCCAGGTGCAAGAACCTTATATTATTACATTTACTTCTGGAAAAATATGAACAAATCTCTATTCATTGATAAAATTCCTAGAAAATGACTTGGAAGAATAAATAATGCTAGAGGATGCTATGCTTAAGTGGGATTTTCAAAATTATCGGTCTCAAAGTGAACCTCTCTGGGTTCACTGTAATTTTAGCTGAGTTCTTTCTGTCATTCTGAAAATCTAATTTTTGGCAATGATGCCGGTTGAAATTACAAATGAAAATCACTTCCTCATTTGCAAGACATTATGGAAGACTTTAATCAGTGATATGCAAAGGCTGAATGCCAATAAAGTGCTCCTTGCTTCTTCCAAAAGAAATGAGGCAGTAACGAAACTAGTGGATTTGAAAGAAAGGGAGGTTTGGTTTTGTTGGTTTTGTTGTTTTGTTTTGGTTTGTTTTTTTTTTCTAGTTTTGTTCTCACTCCACACATGCACACAACGTGAACTTTTTCCTGCAGATTGCTGTGGATATTAAAAAAGCTTATACGAGTTCAAAGGGAGACAGGACAAGCTCACAGAAGACAAATTTTTTAGTGTTGCTGAACAAACGCATCTGACCCAGAAGGTCCTGAGATCCAACCGGTGAAGTAGCACAGTGCTTGGACGAGAGAAAGCTTTGTTATGCCTCTCCTGCTGTTATCTTCTTCCCCAGGCATCCAGCCTGGGCCACTGTTGGAGACAGGATTGTAGATTAGCTGAATGTTTGGGGTCTGATCCAGTACAGCCATTCATATCTTCCAACTGATCTCCTGAGCTCTTCTTCAATCTTTGCCTTTCTATGACTGAGGTTACTTTCCTAAGAAATAAAAGTTTGGAGGTTGGTTCCAGTTAAGGATTTCTTGCCTGCCTGAAGTATCACCTTTGGGGTTTTTTTAAGCACTTGTAGATGAAAAATGTAAAGACATATTTGACGTGGTATTTCCTTAAATGTCAGACGTGTGTACTGAGTGAAACAAATTTTGACTCGCATTCTGTTTCTGAGAAAGGCAAAAATTAAAATTTCAGGCCGAATAGAAGAAGTATAAAATGCAAAATATTTTGCTTTTAAAGTAATGATATGTTGAGGTAAATCAGATGTGTTGATAGAAAGTTTGTTTCTTTTTCCTTGACTTTTGAAACTGCGCGTAAATTATTTAGTTAACAATGGCCGCCTGCCTTGGTTTTGATCAAAAAAAATGCTTGGAATCGACTACATTTTCACTGCTTTTATTTTTATGGTAAGCGTGCAGAATCTGCACTCTGTGGATGAAGAAAACAAACTACAAAGAACAAATTTGTAAGTTTTGATCCTAAAACGGGACTTGTACCTGTCCTGCCCCCCCCAAATCCCCCACATAGGCATATGAGTGAAAATAATGTACTTTTAGGAGGTACTGGATACAACACATTCAGACGCTTAGGAGCTCTGACAATGTAAGTCTTTTTTAATTTGAGATGCCTAGGCATGATTTAGGAGCATAACTCCTCATGTAGATTTAAATTTTGGCATAAGCTCTTACCAGAGAGACGGAAGAGTTGGTATCAAAGGCAGGAGCAGAGGGAAGGAGTGCGGCTGTTCAGGAATGTACATTGCTCCATCCACAGCTCTCCAGGATAATCTTGTTGCGGAACTGGAAAAGGTGGAGAAAACCTCATCCAGTCCTGAAGAGCTGGTAGCTTGGCTTTATATCAGCTCGTTGTGGGAGGTGCAGGTTCACTCCCCCTGAATCAGGAATTTCTCAAGTAATGGCCAGATTCTCTAAATTACAGATGCTGCTTTTTTGACTGAGTCCTTCTTGTTTGTTTGTTTCCTCCCTGTGGAAAGAGTGAACTGTGTTTAAAAATAAAAAATACAAAGCTCCCTCAAACAGTTTGGAGATAAAAGGCTGCTAACTGGTTGGAAAGCTATTGTACTGTGTTGCAGTATGCTCTATTGCAAAAAGCAGAAGCTACTGTCCTGCAGAGTGAGTGCAAGGCAGAAAGAGCTACTCTTCATGCTACCCCAGGCATTTTGAGTTCATACACCGAGGAAAGTCTGGTTTAAAGAAGATGACCCATCCGCGTGCCTTGATCTGCTTATTCTGCTTTTAAGTCAGTGGTTATTTTTTTTTCTCCCCTGCAGTTTTGTAATCTCAGAAGGAGTGACTTCTCTCTACCAGGGTGAGGCTCCGGGGTGCTCGCTGCTGTAGCGCGGGGGTGTTGCTTGAAGGAGTTGTCACCCAAACAAGTAACAGCTTTGACAAGCTCAGGGAGAGTGGTAGCCGTCAAAGGTAGCCCAGCAGTGACCTTAAGGGCTTTAGTCTCAAAGTCTTTGGAGGGAGTCTGTTACTGAATGGGCTCTTCAGAGAGAGATGCGTTGAGACATTAGAGGTGTCCACCTGGCTTCTGAGCTTTGGATTTGTCAGTGGCGTATGGAAAACGTACAGAATTTCTGCTCATGCTGGGGGTTTCGTGCCTTTTCCTGAGGTCGGATATGAATCAGAAGATTTTACGATTCCCAACTAAGATAACTGCCTATTTTCAGATATTATGCAGACGTTTACATCTATGCTACCTTTGTAGCTTAAGATCATGCTATTTGAATTTTCCTTTCATAATTTGTGTGGATAAAGATTTAAAATGCTGGTAAATTTAAAATTCAATTGGCATTAGGTTCTAGCAGTTTTTTAGTACAGTTAGTTATAACAATTAAGCAAAAGCTTTGCAAAGGAAAGTAAACTCATTCAGATAATGTCATGTACTCTGTGACAGCTCAGTATGCATTTTCTCCAACGTTGATTTGTGATTCCCTATACTGCCTGAATTAAAAATGCCTCAGTGCTATATATGTGTTGCAAGCGACTTCCCTAAATCTAAATTGCAAATTCATTTTAACTCAGTTCTTATTCTTGACTCCCTTGTTTTTGGGAAGGAAAAAACGACACTTACTGCTTGCTTTTACCATTTAAATATTTATTTTATTTTACAGCAATGTTAAATTAATTTTGAGGAAAATGTACACAATGTTCTAATAGCTGGGAAACATACATAGCAGGATGATTTAAAGTACTTTTGTCTATATGTTTCTGTTTGTAACAGTAATATACGTAGATTTCTCCTTTTACATGGCTTTGACTTTTCAAAGTGTCTCAGTTAATTTTGCCAGCATGTAGCCCCAGGTAATTTATTTTTATACTTTATAAAGTTTGCAAGAAAATAGCATTTGAAATTTTAAATGTTTATGTTAAAAATATTTATAGAACACAAAGATTGAGAGTAAGTTTCACTCTAAAAATTACCGTATCTTGAGTTTCTTTATGGGACACCAAATAGTTTCCTAGAAGAAATATTTGGGTTGACGCACACGCTCATTTCTAGTTAGCAAAGGACATGTTTTTCTAAGAAACTGCCTCTTTGAGATTGAGTTACCTTATTTGGAGGATGTTATTTTGCTCAAAAGTCATGTTGAGTTGAAGAACTTCTCACAAAAGTCTTTAATGAAGTGGTTACTGTACCTGAAGCACTAACTTCAGTCATCAGAGGTTATTTTGTTGTAATTACACAGACATCTGAGACAGAGGTGAGAAGAAAAACCAGTTTATCTGAGTTGTTCCCAGATGCCCTAAACTACCAGAAGATTTAATTGCTTTATGGGGGCCAGGCTTGTGGAGAGAGCATATACTTTATCAGATAAACCTGGGAGTAACAAAGTTCTTGTAGCCCATTGATCGAAGCCTCCTGTGAATGTAATGGTCCCTAAGAAGGAAAGTGCCCGGAGAGAGACAGGAGGGAGGAGTAAGAGAAGAGGAAAATCCGGAGCAGGCACGGTAGCTGAAGTGATACGATCAATATGGTGCTGTTTTTCTCAGCAACTGGATCCTGCAGTGTACACCAGGTAGTTTCACCCCCGTCCTCAGTAATTTGGAAACAAATATTGATATTAAAAATGAGTAATTACTTTAACGACAGAAAAAAAAACACTTACTTTCATTTGTGTTTGACTTGGCAGATAGTCTTTGGACTTTGGTCAACCTAATCTGAAAACAAAAGTTCATTTCTAACATACAATCTGTCAGAACTGACATTTGACAGAAATTCTTAAAATATTTTTTTTCCGTGTACTGTTATGCTTAACACTTTTACAGTCTTATCATCTTTTCTGGTGTGAAGGAAGCGTAACATATACATACGAGAATATATTTCCACAGCTGAAGAAATGTGCAGGCTTCTAATTCCAGTTTAGCCCCAGTAGTATTTAACACAGTTTATATTGTAGAGTCACTGTCAAATATTTTCATTTTTATAGTCTGAAGGCTGTGTTGAATGAAGTTTTCTGAAACTGGTCTTTCGGAGAATCTGATGTCCCGTGGTCTAGTGGACCTATTATTTTTTATCGAATTTTGAATCGTATCCGATGTAAAGTAATAGACTATAGGGTCAAAACAGCAGTTTGACACGGCGATGCACAGGGTGATGGGGTACATAGTCCTGACTGCAGTTACCACTGAGCAGTTAATCCAGGTCTGTGTTCTCATAAGGGAGTAAAGTATTAAGGTAACGTTATAAGGCACAAAGCAGAAGCAGAATATCACCAAATGGACAAAAATCATCTTGAGTACCTTTTTCTTGCTTAACTTATTCCGACTTAATGTAAGTGGTTTATTCAAAGTCCGTAAGACCATAGTAGAGCAGGTCACGTTCAAGATGAGCGGGATAAAAAACCCAACTATTTCAATGAAGATAACAATCCGGGATAGGTAGGTTTTCCATGTGTCCTCCGAGAAGTTTTCAAAGCACGTTCTTTGTTCAGTGTTATTACGGCGGTTTGTAGACTGGAAAAAGCTTGCTGGTGTGCTGCCCGCCAACACGGTTATCCACACGGCAGCGCAGACGATTTTTGCGTTCCTTTTGGTTCGGAGGGTCTTAGATCGAAAGGGGTGGACTATAGCTAAAAAGCGATCGACGCTTATGCAAGTCAGAAATAAAATGCTCCCATACATGTTTGTGTAAAAGAGGGTGACAGAAATCTTGCAAAGAATGTCTCCAAATGGCCAGTTTCTCGTTACAAAGTAATAAATCCTGAAGGGTAATGTAAAGACAAAGAGCAGATCTGATATTGCTAAATTAAGCATGTAAGTGGTAGTCTCGTTTCGCACTTTCAGTGTACAAATAAAAATGTAGATAGCAACACAGTTTGCTATGAGGCCGAGAACAAACACCATACTAAAGATACACCCATATAAAGTATATTTAAAGGAGTCCTCAGTGGAACAATTAGAGCTTACCATTATAATGGTATTTTTAAAAGTCCTGCGACTCGGAGGTTTCTCTGGTATGTTTGTTGCAACTTTTTTTGAAATGCCAGAAGAACTTGCAGATGTATTTGAAGGGTGTGCCGGGTAAGCCTGTTGCACTGTAAAGCTTCAGAGAAGGAGCACCCGCTCTGTAGCAGGGGCGCACATCTCCAGCAGCAATCACCGGGAGGTCACTCTCCTCTTGCTAGTGCTATTTGTAATCACATCGCCAGTCTTGGAAAGTCAAAAAAAAAAAAAAAGGTATCATTTGTGGCAGATGAGGTCATCCCAAAGCTTGCTCAGTTCCATTTCCCCCCCGGCCTGGATCCCACGGAGCCCTTGTAGAACTTTGTGCCTCACTCTTGGCTGCAGGTCACGGCGGGGGGGGTCTCGTCCATCCAGATTTGCAGGGGCCGTGCGCTTCAGAAAACGATTTCCTGGGCGCTGCGAGGTGCCGGCGCTTGCATTTCTCTTTCAGCCTCCTTTCTGTAAAACGAGCTTTCCGGCTCCTCCGAGCGCTGGCTGGCCCCACGGGGCGGGAAACAAGCTGCTTGCGAGGGCAGAAAATGAAATTCCAGAGCGTGTTTGTTCCTGCAGAGCACGGCCCTCGCGCCCCGGCAGCCTCTCGCCAGCCCGGTTCCTTCTGGAGAAGAGAGAAAGAGCTCGGGCAATTTGTAACGTGACATCACAGGAGGAAGAGGTCGGACTGGCTGAAGAATGGTTTCAATTTGGTTTGTTTGCCTTCCCCTAATCCGATGTGTCTGTTGGGACCATACCTTGCAGAGTGCTGCTGCAGCTGCAGCCTCCTGTTAACTCCTTCCGTGCCCCCCTGAAAGGTCCTTTGTCAGCGTTGCTGGAGTCTGAAAGCTTCATTGCAGAATCTTTTTCTTCACTTATGAGGCAACTTTTCAGTGTCTGAATAACTCTCACGCCTTAAAATTCCTGGGTTGTTTGGTTTTGGTTTTTTTTTTGAAGATCGCAGTAATTGTAGGATTTTGTATTTTATGTAGGATTGAACTAACGTTATGTTTTTTGATAGATAACTTTGCACGTGATAGGTAACATGTTAATCACCAAAAATCAGCTGAGTAGTTCTATCTTAATTCCCTTACTACACTGGTACAAACCTCAGGAAGGGCGAAGTAACATTGATAGGTAATTAAATAATTTCTCCAAATAATATAATACTGAATACTGAAGGAGAGAGGCATAAAGATTATGAACCTGTGACTTGCCCAGGACTGAGATGTGTTACAGCTGAAGGAGAGATTTTTAGCTTGTTCTGTATTAGAAAGCATATCTCAAGCTCTATTTCTAATCAGAAAGATGGTTCTTTTTAAAAAAAAAAAAAAAAAATTTTTTTCCTTTTTTTTTTTTTTAATATATATTTTGTGGTGCAGAAAGCATTTTCTTCAATATGTAAATGTAGAATTAATACAGCAAAATAAATATTGCCCTATGCAACTGTTTCTGATAATTTAAAGGGGGCCAGTTATCGCACATGCACAAAATACTCCCATTAGTCACTGATTAATGAAACGAAAACATGTTGTAACTAATTAAATTGTTAACTAAATATAAAAAAAGCAGCGCTTATTGCCTTTAGGGGCAGATATGAGATAAACCCCAGTTTAGACAGACTCATTTATTTAACAGCACCTTGGATAGACTTACTTCTGGCATCAAAACCAGTCTATTCCTAAGTCTTAGAATAACAAATCTCTTAATATCTGGCTGGGTGGCATGGTTCTTTTGAACTAGATTTTAATCAGTTGTAACTAAGCAAGACTCTGGGCAAAACCTTTCTAGTCTGCTGTAAAGGGGAGTAAATAATAGCACTTCATAGGGCTTTGGCATAGTTTCTTAATGTAAGGTATGTCAGACAAAATTCAGAAACATGCAAAAATAGTCTTTCTTATTTTATTTCAAATTTTCTTCGTAGGTGTCTTCTGTGAAACTCTTTCACCGTGATTTTGAGGTGAAATCAAGCAGTTTCACTTCAACAGGCTATAACCACAAGAAACCTTTTTGGCTACTGTTGGAATTCATACTTAACTGCAAAGCATAGTGTGTGTTTCTTCATCCGAGTCAGCAAAAAATGAAAATGTGAGCTTGGCGGAGTCTCTTGCGTGTCCAACTTAACTTGTACCTTTGCTTAAAGTTGCCTTACCTGGCTTCCCTCACAAAAGCAGTTGTCACATGTGGTTAAATTTTGTTTCTATTCCTGGCAGCCTTGCATGGTAAAAGGGGACTTTTCGTGCAAGAGCCTCTGAGTTCTTCATTGAGCTGTGGGAACCGAGTTCAGCTTTCCTGCTCCAGCTTTGTTTGCACAGGAAGACTGTGGGGCAAGCTCAGTTACCGGAATGAAAATCCCTGAAGTACAGAGATTTGACGTCACATGTCAAAACTTCAAGCAATAATTCACATTTAGAGAGGGAAACTAATGGAAATGCATATGTCTCTCTTATTCATTAGTACTTGATTTCCTGTTTGGGCAAAGGTGTGGGTGCACAGGGACAGGGTAGGGATGTCTGACCTGGGACACTGTCCATGCTAAATGTGCTTTAGGGCAATTGAGAAGGTGCATCCTCAGCCTTCAGATCATCTGCCAGAGCTGCTGCCGTGCTGTGGCCCAAGTTGTTGCTCCTGTTACGAATGTGGGCACTACTCAGAGCTGTATTTTAGGGGCTTGGGTATACGCTTCTGGTTGTCTTTGGGACTTTCTCTTGCATCTCCTTGGGACAGGACAGCATGTGTGCTTTACTCTAACTGAAGAGTTCAATGGTATTTGTACACTTCCAGAAACAGCATTCAGCTGCAGGGAAATAGCATCTCCACCTGCAGAAGAAAAATTTGAAAACCCCAAAGTCGACAGGTTTTTCCTTCATACCATGTTTCAGTACATGACAGAGCAGGCGCTCGGAGTCATTTTGGTGTAAAAGTGTGAATGGCGATGGTGAACTGCATACCCGTGTTATTAATTCAGATGCGGCTGATTGTTATCGAGCAGCGTTTTAATTTGTGTGAGCTTCTCCAAGCTGGAGAACCTGCGTTCGCGCGCGGGGAGCCACGGGAGCGAAGAGCAGCCTCCCTTCTGGCTGGGCTCCAGGGCGGGCGGGGAGGAAACTTCATCACGCGCTTTCCTCTTGTCGGATCACGTTTCAAGACGTTGGGCTCTGTGCTGTCAGATTTTGAAAAGCCTTCAGTAAGCCCCAATGCTTTAAAAAAAAAAAAAAAATAAAAAAGTCGATCAGTTATTATGGAGGGAAGAATTGACTCGGTAATGACCTTGCTTATGCTCCTGCACCATGGGCACGTTTTCCTTCGGGATGGGGAGCAGGGGATAGGCAGGAGGAAGCAGCTGCAGGGAGGGTCCTGGACACTGTGGGGGTGTTTTTCTCCAAAGGAAACAACGCTGGCACTGCAGGGAGATGCGTATGTCAGTCTGTCTGCCTTTCTGCATCGGAGAGGAGAATGAGTTAGGACCTGTCGTTTGGCGCTGGTGCGAGATAAGCAAAAGACTGCGTTTCCATCACGGGCTTCCTGTGGCTCTTGAAGAGGCATCGAAGGCAGAGTGAGCTTGGGCTTCTTAAAGCTAAGAGCTGATGAGGTGCTTGAAATCATCTGTCACTTCAGCAGTGAGCAGATTTTGTACACTCCTTCAGGCGGTTACCACTCAACTCCGCTTATATGAGTTCAGACACCCAAGTTTAGATATCTAGGACTCTTCACACCCTTGGGTTTGTGTAGCAAACCTATTCCAGCATTGAACAGGGGGTCAGAAAGAAAAGCCCTTACAACTGAAGCAGTGTACTACTAGAGGAGCTGTCGGACGCTCTGCCACCAGCAGCTGCTACCCCTAGATGCCACAGAGTCGGATGCTTGCTCTCAGTCAGGACCTGGGCAGGATCTCTTAAATTCAGAAGTCCAAGTTGGGTGGAAAGAAATATTTCACTGAAATAAAACAAGTACTGGAAGGCTTTTGAAGCCTTTCAGATTGTTTTGGCCAGGGTTCTGTGTTCCTCTGGTGTTACCCTAGTCTTCAGTGCTGGAATGAAACAGAAGTAGTAGTCAGAGGTGAAATTAATTTTTAACTTCTCTCGTGTGCCACATTTAGTCTGACGCTGATGCTAATACTAAAAGCTCTTACTTCAGTGAAAAAAAAACAACTTCAACAATAATAATGTTGTAATAAATTCTTGCGGTGCTCCCAAAGTCGGAGTATGCACTGTTAAATTAAGGCTGTCAGGTGCACAAGATGCTGTATGTAACTCCATTATTCTATAATTAATGTTACTGCTTTAGAGGCACGACTGTGTCATGGTACAGGCATTTATTCTCACTTTGGTTAAGGAAGCTTATGCAAAAGAACTTATGCTAACTATTGCAGTAAAACAAACCCTTGCAGGACAGTATTTTCTTTGCCCTGTTATTATTTATCCAATCATTTTCATGGGCTTTACCTTTTTTAGTCTATTGACCGGAGTTTCTCTTTGCGTGTGCATATGTACAGGAAGGAATTTATTATAGTTGAGACATAAGGCTGGGAGCCAGGAAGTCTGTTTTGGGCTGTGCCACAGATTTTTTTGTTCCAATCCTGGCAAAGTTTTCTATGATTTAGCTTCCCTCTGTGTAAGAGCTTGCTCACTTCCTCACTGGGATGTGAGGCCATCTTAATTGTTAAATAGAGTTTGAAGTCCTTGATGGAGAACTCTTTATTAAATAAGGTATTGAGATAATTACAGTGGCTAGTGAATGTGATAAAAATGTGGAAAGATTAAAATTTTGTATTTTTAGGTTAGATTCCTGCCAGGCAAAAGGGTCTGTTAAGAGACTTCACTTGATTCAACTCCATAAGCCTGTGGGGAAGTAGGTGCAGAGAAAGCAGGGCTGGGGGCTTCAACCTTCTCAGGTACCTTTCGGAGCTGCCTGCTCCGACAGAAATTCGTAAGTCACTGTAAGACTGCTTCTGGTGCGTGGTTTACAGCCGCCTTAGAATGCAATGACAGTGTGAAATAGTAGCACTGAATATTCCCTTTTTCCCTCTTAAAAATTTTCCCAGTGTAGTAAGCAAGTCTTTAACTGAGTATTGTAACACTTACATTGAACAGACTATTTTTATCTAGCCAGACTAATCCTGCATGACACTTGCCTAGCCAGTCAGACTCCTCCATATCAGGAAACTTGTTAGCTTCATGCAAATGAAACTACACGTATAAATTACAAGTAAAAGTTAAAAAAACCCTGTAAATATTTTCTGCTGAAAGTTTGACTGACCTTCTAGAACCAGTTGTCCTGTAATTTTTTACTGGCTATGTTCTAATACACAGCTGCCAAAAATCTTTCAAATATTCAAAAAAAAAAAAAAGGCAGGAGAAGCTAAAGTATTTGCATTGTGAATCTGTTAGGTTCTGTAAATTAAAATTAGTTCTCTGTGTGTGTAATTGCTTAAAAAAAGGAAAAGGAAGCTCAGAATAAAACAACAGTTCTTAACTCCTGTGCATTTGAAACAATTCTAAAGAGAAAAGAGAAGCAGTTCAATTTCCATTATAGGAAGCACAACTGCTCCTCTCCTGCTTGCAGAAAGAGGAAACAATTTCTCTCCTTTTGTGTAAATTCAGGCTGCTAGAGTCCTGGTTTTTTCCTCTTGGATTCATGGAGAGAAGGGCTTTTAAAACCCAAATATATGTATGGCAAAGGTATTTTGTTGTTACAATCTCTCTAAATAACTTGCTAGCAAAAAATTGCTTTGGTTCTTTGTTTTTAAAAATGTGCCGTGAATCTGACAATCATACTTGAAGGAATGCAACTTTTAGTCAAATTCTAGTCCTGAAACACTTCTTCACAGT